AAAAAACCAAACAATCCAATTAAAAGATGGGCAAAGGACCTAAATAGATGCTTCTCCAAAGAGGACATACGGATGGCCAACAGACATGAAAAGATGCTCAATGTCACTAATCATCAGAGAAACGCAAATTAAAACCACAATGAGATATCACATCTGTCAGAATGGCAATCAATAAATGAACAAACAAGTGTTAGCGAGAATGTGGAGAAAGGGGAACACTTGTGCACTGTTAATGGGAGTGCAGACTGGTGCAGCCACTGTGGAAAGCAGTATCGAGATACATTAATTTTTCACCTTCCATATTAGTTTTCAAAAAGTGTTAATTTACTTTTATTTAGACAAATTCTGCTGCTAACAATACATTTCATTTTGAATAAACGGTCAGCAACAAGTCCTCAAAAAGGCGAGGGTGATCACTGTGGTCTGTGTCCTCCAGAACTGCAATGTTATAAGATTTGGAGAGGTGAACCATACATCACAAATACCCACAGCGCTGGACAAGGAACTACTTCACTGCATGGGAGGGGTGGATCTAGAATTACTCTCTGCCCTCAAATACCATCTATGATCTCAGGGTACATGATTGACATACCCTCTTTGCTTTATCAAATCTCTCCTGAGCTTACTTGCTTTCTTTCAATGACAGACACACACACTCGCCCATACACAGACATTGAATAGAAAGTTATTTTGATTTTTCTTTTTCTTTTACTCCCAGCAAACCATTCTCTTTCTTTTTTGTAGGCTTATATTTCTAAATTCATAATATGTGATTTAAATTCATTAGTTATCAGCTTATTAATTTTTGTATCCAAAGCTCCAACACAGAGTGCCAAAACTGACTAGACAGGCTTGCTTGGTGAATTAATTAGTAAAATATTTGACAAGGAAGGCTTCATATTTCATCCCCAGACTGTTGAAACTTACAGTATTAAAGGTCTCTCATTAATTCAGGCCATCACATTATCACATTTTTTTTTAAATTTTGACTTAAGGTCTTAAAGTCATCTACCAATATTTTGACCACCCATATAAAAAACTAAACCCACTTTGGGAAATAAAAATGTATGTGTCAAAATGTTAGTTTAGAAGAAAGTATTGCATGTTTTTTGTAAAATCTTCACATACAATTTTCTCCATTCTATCACCTATCAAAAAAAATCAAATATGTAGAATATAATTACAGAAAAACATATTTCCACATGGTATATATTTCCGATTTAGAAATATCTACATATAAACACTATGTTATAAAATTTTTATAAAGTTCCATTGCTTAGAAATTAAAAGTGGCTATTTGGAAAGGTTTTATCTTTTATTATTTTTTATAAGAAAATCATACTTGCTTAGTTTAAGAAATTACATACACAACTTCCCAAGTGACTTTGATATTCCTGAAATAACTGCAAGCCCTTCTTATTCAATCAACCAATCAATGTATATCTATTGACCGGCTTTATTTACCAAGACTATTAGGTGCTGACTGTTCTAGTTTATCTGAACTTCAATCACTACTTTATGCAGGCACTGCATAAGTATTCCTTTGCATTCCCTTTTTAAAAATATTCTTTTGAATACTTAATTGTGTTTTAGTTATATACATCTGGTCCTTAATGTTTCTCTGAAATTTTAAGAAATAATTTCTCCCCTAAAAAAATGTGTTGATGACAGAGCTCACAGAACCAAGTATCTTTTCTTTATTCTCTGTAATACAATAATGTCGGTCTACCTCAAATTGCAAAATTTGCTACACTGTGTTTAGGGTAGCAGGAGATAAATGATTATGCATCAAAGCTCCTCCTACACTGTAGAGTTTTAATGCTCTGCCCCTATTTATTCTGGATATTAAAATGATAAAGAGTTTTCTTCTTAAATTTCAGAGCGGAAGCTCTACTTTGCACAATACCGCATTCTGCATCAACTTCAGATAAGCAGTACCACATTACTCTAGTCTGCTCTTATTTTTGTTTTGAATTTCTTCTGGGGAAATGCTACACCAGCCTTTTATTTTCTCCGTAGAATTCACTGCGGATGTCACAATACAGATAATTTGACATGTAGTTGAATAATCATCCAAATAGCTTAATTGAAATAAATAATCTTGACCAGACATCATGGAAGTTCTGAAGGCAGAAGGGTCCTTAGGACCCATCCAGTTCAATGATCTCATGCACTACGGATGATAAAACTGAGCGTAGGGAGAGAAGACTTGCCCAACTTCATGGAACCAAATCCAGTTCTCCGGTAGTCTCTCCATTTCATCTCACTAGCTTAAGCTTTTAAAAATCCATTTTAAACCTCTTTTTCCTTAAGAATTGTATATATTATTCTTTTCTCCTCAAAAAAGTCTGGATGAACTGGCTTCTATCATCTATTATGGGAGTTCTGCCCTTCTTCCATCCTGGTTGTGTTTGTTCTCTTGCTTGCGAATCAACATAAATCATGTTCTTTCATTATTTTTCTTGCTTTACTCCTGTCCCACAGAAAAAGAGAAAGAGAAGTTAAGGGGAAACCATTTCAGCTATTGGACTATCATCTATGGACCCCTGTAAAATTATTTCTTTCCAGGTAAATACATCTTTACTTTTTCTCAACAAAACAGTTAGAGCTATAAATAGGATGGTTTAGAGATATTTGCAACCCCCATGTGGCCATGTACATTGTGCTTAATACATTCCTGCTGAATTATTATTTTGGCCATTCATTAAGCCGAGTCATCATCGAGGACTGCACTGCTAAAGAAAAGCACAAACCCAAAAATAGCAAGAGTAATCCCATAAAACTGCTGTACTCACATTTTAAAGGAGCTTTGTTTGTACATACAGATACTAGGAAAATATCCTTCCTTAATCTTTTGTGACCCCTCTGCACCTGTATTCCTTACCTAAATTTTTCATAAAATGTGAACAGCTCACTGGGCTCATTCTTTATACTATTAGTTACATTTTCAAAGTCAAGTTTGCCTGAATCTCTCATGCTTACCCTGATGTTATCTGCACTGTCATGATGAAGTCCTCCTTCCACAAAGGTACTCTTGCTACCAAATGTACCTTGAGATTTGATGCAGAAACCTCTTTTATGACTGTAATTGTTACAAACCTACACATTAAAGGATCAATGATCCATAAGCTTCATACTTGCCCAAGAAACAGTCAATAGTTAAACATTTTTAAAAATTCAAAGAACTAAACAAAATTAATAGACTGGAGAGTTTAAAAACATGCTGTGAACCAATGTTTCAGAAACAATTCACCATGTAAAAATTAAATTAGTTTAACTACAATATTTAAAAAGGCACTATTTTCACTTAACCATATAACTCCCAGTCAAATGCAATGAGAAGATGTGTCCTTATACTGATGCATGGTATGCATTCTTAGGTGATTTTTTTGCCTTTTATTCAGCAACATCGGATAGCAACAACATTCAATTTCTGGAGTCATTAAAAATATTTTAATGGCTTTGGACAGAGGTTTGCTATGATAGATGAATGAAATAAATTCTAAAGCCTGGAAAATCTCAGAATAGATCGGCAATGCCTAGGAGCAACATCTATCAAACAGATTTGATCAGAAGTTGACCTGATCATGACCAGTTTCCCTCATTAGCTACAAAAACTTGAAGAATTTAGAAAGTGTAGCTTAATGATAATCTTGCTCAACTCCTTTATTTTACAAATGAGAAATCACAGACCACAAACCTTGTGTGACTTGCAGCAGCCAAGAATGACAGTACAGATTTTCTGAGTGGGGCTGGGATGTCTTTACTACCCTGGTGTAATAGGGGGTCACAACGCCAAGAGTTCATAGAACATGGAATGACACTCATGGGACCAAACCAAAAGACTAAGTTAAATTTGTTAATTCAGTCCACAAGCACTATCAATTGCCTGCCAGTTAAATACAGCTTGGGGACATTTTTTTTTTTTTTAAGTCCAACTGCAGGAAAAGAAGTTCATTCTGGTGATGAATGAAGACCTTCACAGCCGAGAGGACACTGAGGTAAATGTAAAAGTAAACAGCAGGCATACAAATTAAAAATACAACTCGTATAACAGGTCCTGTTTACAAGAAACCAGAATCAGGCAAGCAATTCCTATAATTTCTACACTGAACCGAAGTACACTACCACCGGATATGTTATTCCTAAACATTTGGAAAAATAAGACCTACTGAAAATATAGAAAGTTGATAACAGCTGTTTGAAAAAAAAAAAAAAACATTCTAATGTGGAAATGAGGTAGGCTCAACCACTCAACTAGTTAAAGAAAAAAGTTTTTCTTTGTTAATTCATAGAAACTGAGTGCAAGTTAAACAACCAAGGGCTGGGTTAATTTTTTTGTCCTACTTTCGTCAAGTTGTTGCTAGCATAATGCTTGGAACTAATTTTTAAATCTCAATGAACTGTTTCTTTTAACGATGAAAAAATATGTCTTTTATCCTAATCTTGGTCTTTGCAAAGCCCTTTGCAAACTTCCAACTCCAGCTTGTTATATTTTGATATGCGAGGCCTTAGACAACTGTGAGGTCTCCACTATTGCAAACAGCCACTTTGGTCCGAGCTCACGGCACCTATTGCATACAGCACTCTCACTGAGGTTTATAATCAATATATGTAAAAAATCTGTAAAGCGAAACAAAGTCTAAGATTTGGGAGTCAATGTTCACGATAAACTACTAACCTATTGATTTGTCCTTCACATTCTTCTAGAACACCTAGGAACAGAATCTGAGCCAGGGCAGCGGCGAAAAGGGGAAGATGTCTTAGGAAACGAGCGGGGAAGAGAATTACTTCCTTGACCAGGAGTGGGGTGGCACCGGAGCCTTGGGACTCGCCCGAGTCGCCGGCAGAGGTAAGACCAGAAAGTAAGAGGGAAAGCGAACGACAAAGGCGGAGAAAAAGAAGGCAGCGCGGCGAGCCAGCGGGCGGGAGGCTGGGGAGATAAAGACCGGGAGGCGGAGCTGCGGGGGCGGGCGGGGCGCGGCGGTGGCGGTGGCAGCCGAGGTGACGGCGGGAGCGGGCGGGCGCGCGGGAACCGACAGAGCCGAGGCGGCGCCGCAGCCCCCGCCGGGCCGACGCGCGAGGCGAGAGCCGAGCTCCGCGCAGCCCCTGCTCCGCGCGCGCCGCGCCGCGCTCCTTCCCAGCCGGCGGCCGAAGGACTCCACGAGAGTTTGCTCCGGAGCGCGGGGAAGTTTCCTGCAGAAGCCCCGCTCCTGGAAAAGCAGGACCTGCGGCGCTCGCTCGCCTCCGCTCCCCTCCGTCCTCGCGAGGTAACCGCACTTGGCTTGGGGCGTGTTTGGAGGAGGGTGTGTGGGTTCGAGATCCGTGGGGCCGAGATTGCGGGGCGCCGCGCGGCACCCACGATGGGAGCCGGGTCTGGGTGGGCGGGGAAGTGGATCCTCACTTTTCCAGGTACTTCGCCTCTGTAGACGGCGGGAGGCTGCGTTCTTTACCGCTCTGTTCCTTTTCATCCAGCACCATCCCTCCCCATCCCTTACCCCGCCGCCAGTGTTAGAACCCACTTCACTTCCATTCACTTTAGTAGACGCCTTGGGGTGAGGGGTGTCCCAGAGGTGGAGGCGGTACGAAGCCTTCGAGAGGGACGGAGGAGGAGGACGCAGTGCCCGCCCTGGTTAGCTTTCCGTGCTGGATTCCTGGGCGCCGGCGGGGCACCCCGGACTCCGGGATTCTGGTGCCAGTCTCCACTCGGGCACGCACAGGTTAGAAAGCGGACACCAGAAGGACCAGTCTTGAGTTTCTGATGCCGGTTTATCCGGTCCTCCAGCATGTTTGGCCGAAAGATGAGCATTTCTGCTTTTTTTGCATGGGTCCCAAACTCCGACACCTTGCTAAAGCTCTTTTCAACCTGGGAGGGAAATGAGGAGATTCGGAGCCCAGGTTCTGTGTGGCCCCGGCAGAGGGGCCGTGAGGGATGAAATGGGGAGGAGGCTCGACTCCTGATATGAGTAGGGCAGGAACTGCGTGGTGGTTTTGTTGCTGCTGTCTTGACTTTCACATGGTTACCTGCTCCCTCTTCTGCCCCATTTGAACATCTTGTCTATCAGCCCGTTTCAGTAAGAAGGCTGAGATGTTATGGTTGATGCCTGTCAGGAATTATTCCCAACTAAGTTCACAGGTGCTGTCGCTCCACCTCCCTCTTCTCCTGACAGGTCCACCCCCAACTCCCTCCCACAAGCAAACTGTTCCTGAACAGTTCCCCGGGTTTTGAAAGGGATGGCAAGTAAATAATATGGAGTGTGTGTTTGTGTGACTTTTTTCTTCATGTTCTCAGAACCAAATCAAAACACTCTTTTTTTTTTTTTTTGCAATTTTTAGAGTATTGTTTACCAATATTGATTAATCTTCACTTTAACCTCAAACATTTCATTAATCTCCCTTTCTATAATTTTACCTGTACGGTCACTATTCCATTGGTTTTCAAGGACATGGGCTTCTTTTAGACTCATATATACACACCAAAATACAGTGTGACTCCATTTAGTATTTATGTGTTCCTGATTCAGTAGCCTGGCACCTGCCAATTCCAGCACATAATCATAACACCATATGCCTAGCTACCAACTGAGGATAAGGAGAATGTTACTGTTTTTCATGGGCAAGGGTACCCTGGTCTAACAGATTTTATTATTATTGCTCAGGGGGATTTTAAGGGCTTCAGTGAATCAGATAATACAGAGCAAAAGTACAATTCTACTCGATGCATTAAAAAAGAATACTATAGCTAGACACTTAGAATTGACTAGTTATTGGGGGAAAATTAAAATCCTCTGATCACACAGATAACATTATGATTGAATATAGTCAATAAAAATAACACATATTGAACGTCTTGAGAAAATGAGAGTTTTCCTCTTTCCTCATATAGTTTTTAGCTCCTTGACTGCAGTAGCATCTTCCAGATAATGAGCACCTTGCATATAGATGATAGTTTGTACTAACTAAACACCATATTTTTTAATACAGAGGCTTGGTGACAGTCCAAAAACATCAATGTTTTAAATCATTACCAACCATCTGTTCTCTCCCACTCACTTAAAGTGCACTGTTTTATTTTCACAGGTATCAAAACATACCTCCTCATTTCATGAATTTCCATGAATATCCCAAAAGCTCTAACAGTATCTGATGTTGATCTAGGTTCAGCAACTGTTGCATTTGGGTTATTACACTCGAAGCTCCTCTCTTTTTACTTTCAATGAAAGGAAAAGTCTAAAGAAGTTATAAAGCCTTTGGCCAAGACTGGTGTATACTCTGGTGAACTCTGATTGCTTTCATTCCTCCACCTTTTTGTTACCAGAAAACAGCTGAGAATTAGTGCTGCCGTGGTCTCCTCCTGAGGACATTCTTTCCCTTTCTTTCTGGCCACGAGGGTAGCATTTGGTGCTCTCAAGCAGTGCATTAAACAGCCCCGTAACTCCAGAAAATTAGTGTCGTTTCCAAAAGAATGTAACATCTTCCCAGGAAAAATTTGCAGAATAGGAGGTCGATTTAATATTCCAAACCCAAATTAAGAAGACCTAAGACATACACATTGTTTCACATACAAATATTGGGTATGAATAACAGGATATTTTATGTAGGATATGAATAAAATGTCTATATAGAATTCTTTGTATCTGTGTTTGGGAATCTGGGGAAGTTTGTATGCAATCAGCAGACAGATTCACACCCTTCATTTGGTCCAAGTCATCATTTAAGCAAGATTTGAGGTTTTCAGTCCCACCCTAACCCCCATCTTGGAACGCTTTCCCATTTAGGAATGTTTGCTTAAACTGCAATGTTAGGATATTTTTATTACTCAGAATTACATTGCATAATAAATATGTTGTTTCTTCATTGCAGCCAGAATGTTGGGAAGTTCTTTTTACTCAAATCTGGACGTAATGTCCCAAAGCACATTCATAATTTTGAGGAGAAAGATATTGGCAATCTTGCTTATACTCTGTGAGTAATTGCTATGTATTTGAAGAATATCAAGAACCAAAAAAAAATCTCGATCTTCCACCTTCTTATCTGCTACACTGCTCCATACTACCCTTGTCTTCGAAGCATAAGATTCCTCTTACTATCAGGATAGCATTGAAAAGAATGAAGCCAAACTTATAGTAAATTTTGAAAGTAAAGTTGTCTTTAAAAATATGGCCTAATTCAAATCTTTGGATATATATGAAGATGTGTTGCATCTTATTTTTCTGTATAATAAAAATGAATTATTGAGGGGAGAGAATGTCACCATGTGTAGTAAGCTCTCTGAATTACTCATGTTAATAAGAAGAATAGAGGCTAAGATAACCCCAAATCATGGTTATTTAAAACGTCATTTGTGTTTGTTTTTGGAATGTATTACATGTTTGGTTTAAAGAAGATTTTCATTGTTATTGTGGGCAAATTGCCTTTTTAATTATTTTGTTGTGTTTAGGTTAATTTTTAAATGAGCTTACATACGTCAAACACCAAAACCAATTTATGGGGAGGTGGAGAAGGTGGGCAGCCTGGCCAGAGCAGAGCTGGGTGACAGAAGTCAGCACACCCGACATGACAACTGTGTAGCAGATCGTACGGAACTCACAGAAAGATAATCAGAACGTAATTGTATCTCTATTTAATGATTCTGTATTAAGAATTAGACATGTCCCTGGGAAAACGATTAAAGTCCTTCAATCCAAATATGAGAAATTCAGTCTCAGTTTACATGTAACAGGTGATTAATGTTTTTTGAAACATGACAGTGAGATGCTGCTGAAAACCAGATACAAAGATCTACGTTATAAATCTTGCTAAACTGAATTGTTAAGTGTGAGGGCTTCCTAAAGCGCACAAATGTGTAGGTGTCAAGGTGACGTTCATAAGCCGTATGTGTGTACTTTCCAAAAGAGGAATCAGCAAGATGCCATCAGAATAAGGGATTTGGTCCATTTGATCTCCGCACCTAGGCTCCAAAGCAAAGCACATTTCATCAAAGAGAAGCTCTCAAGTATCCATTGTTACTGTGGAACTGGTTAGATAAAATAGTTGAAGTTCAGCAACACTGCCAATTTAACAGATTTCTATTGTGTTTTTCAAAAGCTTCAGGGTAAAATTGGTTGTGGATGAAACAGCTACTTGAACAAGAAGTTGATTCACACTGTAGCACTTGCTATTAACACCTTGTTTATAGTCAGCATTCAGTTGTGTATAGATTTTGTTGAATTGTTAGTTCCGTAAACTATTAGAAAGAATTTAGGAAACCTCTGTGGAGAAGGGTATAGCTGCCAAAAATATATGACTGGAAAAGCAGGTAAAGTCATTTTTATTCAAGAATTCAAAGTAAAAGGTAAAACTGTGACTTCTACAGCAGTGAGCAAAATGGTAATAAGAAGATAGATGTTGCTTTTGGAATGGGAGCTGTGTTCTCATAATAAATGTGCCTGCTACTTCAAGTATATAGGTATGTCTTTCTTAAGGACATATTTGGGAGGGGGGTGTGTGTGTTTATAGGGTATGGCATTTTTTAAAGATGATAAAACCATGTATTTTAAAAAGAAATATTGTTGGAAGAGTTGAGACCCACAGGATATATTTTATATACATTTATTAAAAGGATCAGTTTCTTCCCATCAGTGCCTAAGTCTTCGAGTCAAAATTATGCATTTTTTTGTGGAGCTGGAAAAGACCTTAAAAGTAATTTATTCCAATTCCCTCATTTCACAGTTAAGGAAATGGGGGCCTCAGTGATCACAGCGAGCTGTTAAAGGTCACAGTGGCCGTCAGTGGCAGAGCAGAAACTAGAAACCTGATTTCCCGACTCTATCCAGCCCCCTCGCTGCAAGTTGGGCAGTTAGATAAGGGAGTTAACCCTTTCTAGCCATCGCAATATCAACTGTACAAGACAGTCACTGAATGAAGTGGTACGGAGGTAACTGCAGAAGCTTGTGATTCTTCTGCATTCTTTCATTCACTGAATATTTGTCATGGGCCAAACTGTTGTCCTTAGCCCTGCCCTCTTTTTTAATAACAAATATTTTTGTTACCCTCTTAGTATCCTGAAATATAATCCATCCATAATATAGTTACTGAGTGTATCGATAAGGAAAAGGAGCGATCAAATAAAAGTAATTTGTAATAACATGTGATTTTCCTGCACTACTGTTTGGAGATTACGTCACTGGAACACATGTTAAAGAAGTCAGAAATGTGCATGTATATATAATGAATAAATTTAGATTTAAGACATAAAATCAGAAGACATTTCATGCAAGAAGTACAGGCA